TGGTATGGATTAGAAGAGTTGACTTCTCACCTTTTCTAGATAAAGTGACTTGTATAAGGTCACTGAGATAGCAACTGTCCAGTTTGGGGATTCGGCCTCCCAAGTCCTGTGCCATTTGCCATAACTCCAAATGCGACAATAGGCCGAGCCAGGTGTTCACATGACATGTGCTTAATTTGTTCTCTCTCTGTGTGTAGGATTCAGATTTGCTCTTATGTGGGGAAATGGAATACTAATCAGGAAATTCTTCATAATTTAATATAACTAAAGAGCCTTTGATTCGCAACACTCCTTTCATATATACAAGTAGAGTACTCAGTGAATGATAAATTAGAACAAATGTTCACACAGTGTATTTTGGAAGCATTTTTATGAAATTACATTCACGTATAATTTACGAAGGGGTACCCCAAAAAATGGAATTGCACACTGGGTGGTGCAGACCTTTTGTAGTACACATTTTTCTGGTAGGTGAGCATCGAGCAACTTTTGTTCTGAGTTAGTACACCAAGTGGCATCACCTAGGAAGGTTCTCTGTGGACACAGTGAATTTTTTCATAAAAGCAGTTTTACTCGAACCTCATTTTTTGTGATGGCCGATTGAGGAGAACAGGGTTCAGCTGTGAAGTTTTGTTTCACAGTGGATTTCAGTGTACCAGGGGATTTCTCGTTTCAAAAGGGTGACATGTCGCCTGATAATTAACCTCATTTGTATGTCTGTCAACTTCCTGAACAGGTGAAAATGTTGAGTCAGAGTATATTTGGGGTGCATCCCACCAGGTCAGACTGTCAATCAAGCTGTCTAGAGGTTCTGAAAGATTGCATAACAGTGTGTGACAAAAAAGGCTTGATTTGTGGCAAAGGGGAGACTGGTTTTGCCACCATGACAATTCACCTGCTCATGCAGCCATCTCAGTGCTCCAGTTTTGGGCAAAAAACAGCATGCCTCTCTTTTCCCATGCACCTTACTAACCTGACCTCACTTCTTGTGACGTTCTTGTTTCCGCAAACGAAGAGGGCATGAAAGAATAGCAATTTGACAACATAGAAGAAAATAACAAAATGAGGGAGGTTCTGTCAGCCATCCAAACAGATGAGTTTGAAAAATGTTTCCAAGAAGGAATTGCAGATTTGACAAATGTATTAAGTGTAATAGGGAGTACTTTGAAGGTGATAA